AAAGTCCGTGTGTATATTTGGGATGGGTACTGATCTGCTGCCCAAGGCTCAATAGATTCCCTAGGCCTCCTCACTGACACCCAGATTCAGGGGGTCTTGATCAGTCCCATGCTGGATTCCCAGGCTGATGCCTGGGATTCAAGAGTTAACCTTTGTCTGGTCAGCTGTTTCTGGGGGTTAAACCAGACCAGTCTTAATCCCTTTGATCATCAGTCCTCCTTCTCTGTTACTAGCTTTCTTGAGTTCAGCTCAGTACTTAACCGAGGGAGTCTGCCTCTTCTTCGATCAGCCACTAAATGAAGTTTCTGTTTCCCAGACCCTCTGGCCATAGGATTGTAGGCTGGCACTCCCCAGATCTATGTCTAAAATCCATATATGAGAGAGTACATGCCATGTTTCTCTTTTTGTGACTGGGCTACCTCACTCAGGATGGTTTCTTCTAGTGTTATCCATTTGCCTGCGAATCTCATGATTCCATTGTTTTTTTCTGCTGAATAGTACTCCATTGTGTAAATGTACCACATTTTCTCTATCCACTCTTCGGTTGAGGGACATCTAGGTTGCTTCCAAGTTCTGGCTATTACAAATAAAGCTGCTATGAACATAGTGGAACAGACATCTTTGTTGCGTGAATGGACATCTTTTGGATATATTTTAAAGTTTTTATCCTAAAAGTCTTTCATATGATTGGTTAGAGCCTTGTCAAGATATTTTGCAGTTTTTGAGGCTATTGTGCATAGTATTGCTTCCTTGATTTCCTCATCAGTCCATTTGTCCTGTATATATAAGAAGGCTGCTGATTTTTGTATGTTAATTTTTTGTATAAATATTTTGCTGAAAGTGTTTACCAGTTGAAGAAGATTCCAGGTACAATTTTTAGGGTCACTTATAATATACCAAACTATCATCTGAAAATAGAGATATGTTGCCATCTTCCAATTTATACCCCCTTGATCTCTTTCAGTTGCTTTATTGAACTAGCTAAGTATTCAAGTACTGAATTTAATAGGTATGGAGAGAGTGGACACACCTGATCTTAGTGGAATTGCTTTGAGCTTCTCTTCATTTAAGTTGATGTTGATTATGGGACTGTTTTAAATAGTGTTTATTATGTTGCAGTATATCCCTTGAATTACTCTCTAGGATGTACCATAAAGGGGTGTTAGATTGTACCAAAGGCCTTTTCTGAGTCTAATGAGATAATCATGTGATTTTTGTCTTTCAGTCTGTTTATATGTCGGATTACATTTATCAGTTTATGTATGTTGAACCATCCTAGCACCTCTGTGATGAAGCCTACTTGATTATGGTAAATGAGCTTTTTGATGTGTTCTTATATTTAGTTTGCAAGTATTTTATTGAGAAATTGGTCCGTAACTTTTCTTTGTCGGTTCTTTTTTGTGGTTTAGGAATCAGAGAATTTGGGTATCAGGGTCACTGTGGCCTCATAAAAGAAGTGGGCAATGTTTCTTCTGTTTCTATGTTGTAGAATAATTTGGAATATTAACATTAATTCTTCTTTGAAATTCTAGTAGAATTCTGTGCTAAAGCCACCTGGCTCTACACTTTTTTTGGTTGGGAAATTTTTAATAACTGCTTCTATTTCACTAAGGGTTATAGGTCTGTTTAAATCACATGCCTGATTTTGATTTAACTTTGGTAGTTGGTATATATTGTAAAAATTATCCATTTATTTTAGATGTTACCGTTTGGTGGAGTACAGGGTTTTTAAAAAATATGTCCTTATGATTCTTTGGATTTTATCAGAGTTTGTTGTTATGTTCCCCTTTTCACCTCTAATTTTGTTAATTTGGATATTCTCTTTCTGTCTTTTAATTAATTTGGGTTGTTGAAAGTTTTTCTGGGCTACATCTGTAGTCTTTTAGAGCCTGCAGTGCATCTATCCAGTACTTTTGGACTTACAAGCCCCCATTGAGAAGAAAGGTGTAATTCTAACAGGTCTTCTTTTATATGTTACTTGGTCTTTTCCCCTTGAAGATTTTCATTTTCATTGTTTTGTACATTTTTGTGTTGGTATTATATACTGAGGGGAATTTCTTTCTGCTCCAGTCTGTTTTATGATCTGTATGCTTCTTGTATCTTGATAGGCTTCTCTTTATTTAGATTAGGGAGATTTTTTTGATAGCTTTTTGAAAATATTTTCTATGCTTTTGACCTGGGTTTCTTCCCCTACCTCTATTCATATTATTCATAGATTTGGTCTTTTAACAGTGTCCCAGATTTTGGATCTTTTGTGTCTGGATATTTTTAGAGTTGACTTTTTTCTTTAACCAAGGTATCCATTTCTTTTATCTTGTCTTTAGTGCTTGGGATTCTCTCTTCCACCTCCTATATTCTGTTGGTGAAGCTTGTCTCTAAGGTTCCTGTTCAAGTTCTTAAATTTTTCATTTTCGGATTTCTCTCAGTATGAGTTTTCTTTGTTGATTCAACTTCCACTTTCATGTCTTTGTGACTGCACTGTTGTGTGGTGTCTAAGAACAGGAACCTCCAAAAAGTGTACAGATGTGTAGTTATTGAGGTCAGTGAGAGAGAAGGGCAGGATGGAGACTTTTTAAAATACTGTACTATGTATGTGTCCCTCAAAATATCACAGGGTACTACACAAATATGTACAAGTTTTGTTTTCTGTGTCTGTTTTGAGGCACACTTAAGGCTTTGTCTCTCTACAGCTGCTTCTGGACTAAGGTCGAGGCCGATCGGTGTTCTTTGTAGAAGGGTGAGAATATCAACTCCTTCCTGCTTTTAGGGTAGGTTTACTTCTCAGCACTCCTTCTGAAGCACATATATCCAAAGGGTAGTGACATATAGAGGCATTTTTCTGGGGAAAGGATGTAAAAAATCGAAATGTTTTTTTCCTGCTAGCTATTGGGTTGATGAGGATAGAGTATATTGTACTTGGGGACAAATTCAGATTTGTGAGTTATTTCCTGTCTTCCTTTCACTCACTGTTCTACAGATTGCTGAATGTGTACTTTTTCTTCTGGCTATTAGGAAGTGTTTCCTGCACAAACATGGCTTACTCTTGCAACATCTCCCACAAGACCACTGGGCTTCTTTCCAGAAAGTTCCCATCTGATGTGTGGTGCCCAGGCTCCCTAGGGTGGGATACTTTTCACATAAATGATTTCAGTCAAACTTGCATAGAAGTGCTTTACAAATGGGACAATTTCATTTTAGAAGTTGGAAAGAGGAAGGGGGTAAAGTAAGAGAAGTTTCCGGAACCCTTGTTTTCCATCTGGAAACTCAATGAGACAGTTTTAATATCTGTGTATCCAAGGCACACAGTGCCATGTGCTTCCATATCTGTTCATACCTGTTGAATGAGCTTATGTAGAATGAAACACTACGGTAGCTCTATTTGTGATGGTGACATCAAGTCACAGCTCTGGTGGGTTGTGTGTCTATGGAGACATGCATGCTGCATTTACATTGCATTTATTAGTTGCTGCAAGGCTTTTGTTCTAAATTTTAGAAAATAATATATGTAAATTATGTATGTGTAGTGTTTTTTCCTTTATCAGTTTGGATTATGTTTAGCAATGAGACTGATGACTCCACAGATTCTGGAAGCTCCTAGGACATGTGCAATAGGACTAGTGTAGTGTGTGGATATTCCCTGTTCCTGCTTCCTCTGGTTGTCCATGTCTGCAGACTTTCTTCCCCTTTATCTTGCTGGCTGGTAGAAGTTTGACTTTCAGAACTCTTGTGTGCATGACTCCCTGTGTCACTTACTTGTAAGATAGCTTCTCATCCTAAATTCTGTTCAATGATGAATCAAATGGTTTGACATTTGCAAGGAAGATTAGCTGTATTCTACCATGAGACACGGGTTTAACAAAATAAATATCCTTTAACTTCAAAGTCATTAAAGAGTGGATCCCACTGTGGGGTGGGAAGGAGGAGACACCTCCCAGAGAGTTAACTTCCTGTTGCTTCTCACAACATTCTCTAGGTAGAGTGTATTCTAGATTATCAGGGGTGGCTAGTTGGACACAACTCTAATGCTAAGAAGATTAAAAGGGCACTTGGTTAGAATAAGTTTCTCAAATCCCTCTTTTGATTATTTAAAATATTTTTTCTTTTTCCTTCACAGCTCTACTTTTTGTTTGGCCCAAGTACCCATAAAAATCACCATTTTATGTTTATGATATGGGAGATAGTTGGCATGATGGAAATGATTATGATATCAAGCTTTAGGGTTGGGCAGATTTGAAGGCCCAAGACAATGGTTTCCCCACAGCTCTGATCCATTCCCATCCTCACATCCTGCCCTGGTGGCATATAACCACATTCAAGCCTTTAGCCTTTACTCGGTTGCATTCCTACAGTTTGTTGTTATGGCTTTATATGTTTAGACCACTATCTCTGGGTTATCAGTTAGCCTTTGTGTCAAGAACTCTGGGATTTCCCTGGGAATAAGGCAAAACAAGGCTGTCTGGGATACCTTTCAAGTAGGGAAGCTGTAGCAGATGGACTTGTGAACAGCAGCTGCAGGAATTTGGCAGAGTTGCTGCATATGCTACTGAGAACAAGAGCGGAGTCAAACAATGTCCTGGGAGGACTCAGAAAGAAAGTTGCATGGAAAGGGAAGTGAACCCCTATATTTATGATTCACTATAGGACAATGCTCACAGAGGCAGAAAACAATGGCCACCAAGGTGTCATATTATTTAGCTTTCCAGTAGACATCTTAACTAAACAAACTTAACCTTTTGAATGCTGTGCCTACAAAAGAAATAAACGAAGATATTTTCACAGTGTAATTAGCAAATTCAGATATTTTCCAGTCTATACTGTTCTTGAACCTAGGGCATTTGTATACATCCTTGCAGTGTGGCACCAGAAAGCCAGCCAGGCTGCTTTGGTTTTCTGGTATTGGTGGTGCTATAAAGCTTAAACCCTCTCTCTCTCTCTCTCTCTCTCTCTCTCTCTCTCTCTCTCTCTCTCTCTCTCTCTCTCTCTCTCTCAGAGCTCACAGTAGCCGACATCTTCCACCATTTGAGGTGAGCAGGTAGAAACCTGAAGTGAGTCAGTCCATGTTAAGGTCTGTTCTCATGAGGATGCTGAACATCTCAGTGCCTCCTAGAATCTGTCTAGGAAACCATGGCCTTCTCAGTGTTTCACAGATCATACATGTCATCACTTTCAACTTCAGCAGAACAAGCAGGCTGAGAAAACATCTTGGTCAAACCCTACCTTCTCAAGCTCATGGATATTAGAATGACTGCTGTCATCATTGTGCAGAGGTAAGGCAAAAGTAACTCCTGGAAAGCTCCTAGTGTCTGACTGCTGTCCCCCAAGGAAGCATTTTTTTCAGCCCTCTGATGGGAGAGTTTGGGAAAGGTTAAATTTGGTTTGCCCACCCCCATATGCATTTTATCTGAGAAAATGACAGGTCTGGCATGAGAAAACTACATCATTGTTCAAGGACTTGGTAGATTGTTCTTTCTTTTCTTTCCTCCTCCCCCTTCTTCTTCCTTCTCCTGTTCCTTTCCCTCTTCTCCTTTGGTTTAAGTTAAAGTTAGGGGTTTAGGAACCTATCCTTCTTCCCATGGGCTTGCTTTGATCCATGAAACACAGAAGTCTCTGTCACTGATGGAAACCGGGTCACATATACTTGTGGATTAACCAATGCCCAGAGCTCTTGGGATGAAATATGGGGAAGCTGAGCATAAGTCATTACAGTGCTGGGAAAGTCAAGTCTGTAATCTGCTCTTCTGAAACTCATCCTTCCGATGGGCACCATAGGAAAAGGCAGCAATTGGCACTAGGAAGAAGCCAGACACAAGCACGGTTTGCAGAGTCAGGTTCAACATTTAAGAGATGTTTGCCTGTTTCCCCAGAGTACAGAGGATGGTGTGGAGGCCCTTTGCCTGGAGGAGAGTTCCCCAGAGTACAGAGACCCAGAGGGCGTTTGTGCTAGCACTCATCACCCGCTTTGTGTCTTCCTGAGTACTTGTACAGCCCTGAGCTTTTATTATTAACAAATGTATTTAATTTCTGCCTTGCCAAACATTCTCTTAGTTAAAGATAATCTCGACTTCCACATTGTGTGCTATATGGAAAAAGATCAATTCTCCTTCTGGGAGTTTGAAAATGAGAATTGCAAGGGTTCAGCAGGATGAGGGTCAAAAGGCTGATTTGCTTGAAGAAGGTTGGCAGTTTTGGGGGAATTCTTAAGTGTAATGACCTCATTTCCACTGGGGCTTATATCTTATGGTTATAAACTAGGCAGGTACAACTTCAGTTAGGAAATCTGCACTGTACCTGTGGTCTGTGCTTTCCCACAGGCATGCTGACAGGCAAGATGGCTGGCAATTGTGGGAAAGATTCTCAAATGGCAAAAATGTAGTTTTCAGGCTGTTCCAGATAATTGCTGCTGGAGAGCTGATGCTTTTGCTGGAAGCTTATTTCATTGGCAGATGCTACTGTGGAGCCAGAGTAATTTGGGTCTGAAGACTGGCCCTGCTCTCAAGCCGGACTGCACATGGTTTCAGACTTAAGAATACTTGGCCAGAGTGGAGGAAGCTTATTGGAGTTGCAGATCTGGCCTCAATGTTGATCAAGGGAGGACTCAGCTAGTCAGAGCTGTGCTAACAAGAGATGAGGGCATCAAACTGCACTCCATCTTTGCCCCAGGGTATCTTTCTTTCTACTCTGTCTTCCAGGACTGCAGAGAAAACTGGTGGGTGAAATTGCTGCTTCTGTGCAGATGCTTAGGCACAGTCGCTCTCTACACAACACTCTGTTATGGGAACCCAGGATGTCTGACGATGTATGCATTCTCATTTCTCTAATCTGTAGACTGGTTTACAGTTCCTGTCTCCATGGATCACTTAAAAGTTAATGGATAAGGGAGCTATCATAGGGGCTTTAGAGGCAAGACAAACCAAGGCTTCAGGGGAAACTATTTAGACTTCAGGACTAGAATCTGAGGACTGAGTTCCCAATTCTGGCTGAGCATGTGTCCTGTGTTTTACCTTCTTCAATCGCAACAGAAGCCCATAAGCTACCATACTCTAAGCACAGTTACGGCTTCTTCATCTGAACCCATTGCTCTTGAGCTTGTGCTTATCCCTCAGTGCCCTGCTCTCTCCCTATGGAGGATTTCATAGGGTATCATTCTCTTCGTGTCATTACCTCTACTATCATCCCAGTAATTGTTTGAACCTAATAACACAATTGCTGGCATGTAGTGTTCACTTGCTGACTGGCAGAGACACTCTAGTACTTCACAGGTACTAGCTTAGTTCTGCCAGTAGCACACTATGTGGAGGCACTACCCTCACCTCCATTGCACTGGGTCTGATGCTGAGTCAGTTTAGGTCACTGGCCATGCTGACCATCTATGCGTTTCAATGAACCGAGTTAGTCTGGACATGCAGCTGCAATCCTTTAAAAATGGTGACCAACATAAGTTTTTCTTTTCTGTTGAAACAGGAAGAGGCACACCGGCTACCAGAAAATTGAGGACAAGTCAGAGTGGTGATCAGTGCATGTTTCCTTCCCATAAGCCAGTGCAAGGATTCTGCATAAGTCAACATCGCTGTCTGTTACAGACTGTCATTCAGGTCATGATGCTCATAGTCACCAGTGTTAGACTGCAGCTCTTTCTATCCCTTTCTCTCACCTCTTCCCTTCCTTCCAGGAACAGAAAAGGTTCAGTCTTGAGTTCAGCCCTATATTTTGGCTGGGTACCTGGCATATCTGATAGAGGAAAAGATGGGGGCCTGAATTTGGACTGAGGGAGAAGATGCCTATGTGGCTTATAGGCCTACCTTGGACCAGGGGGGACTGTTGCTGCTGTCCCTAAGGGCAGGTTTCCAAATGTTTCATTTTATGAACTCCTAGGAAGCATCAAGTTCCCCTCCAAAGCTGTCTTTAGGTACTGCTTGTTACTGTTAGACAGGTGTTATTATTAGCTTGCAGTTTGCTGGCTGGGTATCACTGCATCAACATATTCCAAGCGGATGCGGAGCAAAAGCCTCAAGGACGAAAATGAAGAAAGGTCTTATGTAATAAATTGAAAGTATACATCACTAAGGACTGTAGTTCTGTCCCTGCGTTAGTAGTGAATATACTCATATTAGGGTATGTTTACCTTGGAATCAGGTGATGTCTGTAGAATGTGACATGTACCTACTATCTACTTAACACAGAGTTCAGTGTTTTATAGAAAAGGGAACTGGCCATAGGCAACCATTTTTTTTTCATGCAGTTGAGGATTTCACTGCTTCTATTAAGATTTTAAAGCATTTAATACATTAAAGCATCTTTACACTGCTTACTGTGTACTTTCTCCATAAGGAACCCTATAACCTACCAGACTTTAGAAAAACCAGTTCTTGTCTTGGAAGTAGATGAGATGAACAGTTGACCTGGAAAACAAGGCAACACATGCCCAGCTAGCAGGGTTTTTGCATTACACAGAGTGAGAGGAGCTCATCTCTTTCCAGGGGTGCATCTTGAGAAAGACTAATTTGCTGCAAAAACAATAGGTTCCCCACCTTCTGTGACAATGCTGTGACTCCACAGCACAATGAATAGGAATCGAAGGCACACTCCTCAGCTATCATGTGTCCAAAGCGATTATGGAAATGGTGATGGTGAATCTCAATTACTTCCACATTGTCTGGCTCTGCTCCAGGATTACCACCCCCCCCAACCCCCGCCCTGTCTGCCTGCCATTCTTCTCCTGCCATTCTATTCTTTTCATGTTCTGTCCCTCAAGGCTCACATGTTTCAGAGAGGAGGCATTATGTAGATATATCTTTTTTATTTTTAATGCTCATTGTTCTGCTTAATCTGAACAAACCTCTAATTTTTCATGTGCCCACCATCCTTCTAGATCCTTTCCTCTCAAATATTTTCATACTTCTGATTCTTTAAATCTAAAGAAAGTAGAATTCAGTTTACTTTTCATACTTTCCAAAAAGGAGTATGTTAGATGTGAAACTCTGGCTCCTAAGTGTCAAAGAATCTTCTAGTACCAAGATTCTAGCTAATTTTAAGGTTTGGAGAAATAATCAGCCACTGTACTGTATGAGTCCACACTATGCACTCTTTACATACAAAGTGATATGAATATATTGGAGGAAGCCCTGTGGTTCTCTGTGGCTGCCTGCCTGAGGCTTTGCCTTCTTTCCTCTTTAAAGCCCGAGCTCACCATTTGGGACTATTCAGCTGTGTGCAAGAAGGCTTACCTCGGTGTCTCACCTGTATTATATTTTAATAGGTATTATGACAATGCCAGTCTTATATAGTCATATTGAGAATTTAAAGAACAAATTTATGAAGAATATTAGGACAATGTCTGGCATGGAGTCTGTGCAATAAAAATGTTCACAATCCTATTTATCATTGTCGCTCTGTCTTATTTTCTCCTTGATGCTTATCTTGAGTGAACACACTTTGTCTGTTTTCTTATGTCTTTTATTATGTGCCTTATGAGAAGACCAGTTCCATAAGATAGAGAATTGGTACAAACTATGGAGCAGATATCTGGCAGGTATTACAAATATTCAGGATACAACAGGTGGCAAAAAACTGCATAAAAGTTAGCAACTAGGCTTAGCAATTCTGAATAGGGCTCAGCTAGACATGCTATTTTTCCAGCCCTCCTCAGTGCCAGGAATGCACCATCTGGGAGCTGAAGTCTTCTTTGGCCTGGGCTGGTCTAGACAAGGTTTATTAGAGCTTGTTCCACGTGAATCCTCTGACTTGCCTGGAACATCAGTTGAAAAGCAAAGAACCTGATGAAAAGTATCCAAGTATTCACAGCACCGAGAACAGCAGGCCTGGATAGAAATAGGCCTTTGAAGAAACATGCCATAGATCTATTCAAATCAGCATTATGAGGGTAAAGGAAATAACTATAGTCCTGGCCTTGGAGTTTCTCAGCATTGACTCAGGAGGAATCTAATCTGACTAAAGTTTATATTTTTTCCTTTTCCTTTTTAAAATGTCACCTATCTCTGATACTTTTAATGAAATTGTGAGTACCAGATCCATTGCTATTCATGTCTTCATGGGTTCAAAGTCATCCTGGAGTTAACACAGGAATACACAGGACATCTGGTTGAGAAGTGGGATCTAGTGAAAAATGACAGGTGACAGTCTAGTCCTCTTCATTCTTCTAACAGGTTTCATCTATGTGAATGTGAAACCCATTACAGGTTCAATGAGTGGATACGGTATGATTTTCTCCCAACAGAAAACACAATGTGCTTTCTTGGCTCAGAGGACAAGACATACTGGGGAGATTTCAATAGCATTCCTGGAGGGACCTAGGAGATGTTAACCCATTCTTGGGGAAGGCGGTGGAGATACAAAGAGATGGACAACTTGCCAGCATCCATTGAATGCCCATAGCGGTTAGAAACACAAGGCTGCAATTTGGAGAGAAAGGAGTGCAGTTTGGTGAGTTGCAAAAATAGACCATGCAGTGGGAAAACCTTTCAGAAGAGGCTTATCTCCACGTGGTGGAATGACTGGCTAGGTTTTCAAAGTTGTGACTGCAGTGGTGTGATCGTCTGGGTCTGGAACAGCCTCCACTCGCCCAGTCTAGCACCTTGCACTGCTATTCCAAGAAACACTGTTTTTGCAGCTTTTCCTCACATCTCTATCCTGGGGCTGCCACACATTTTGCTGCCACCCTTTCTGGGCTTGCTACCTTTTCTTCCTGTAAATTGGGCTTGGCCTGTACCCTTACACATGTACTTAAAGTTTCTACCTGGAAGACATCACCCATGGCTTGGTTTTAAGTTCCATTTATAAGCCGACAGTGCCCAAACCTTAGTTTCCCTTCTGTTTCCTGTGCTCAGAGCCAATCCCTCACACTTCCACCTGTTTCTCTCATGCTCCTAGAGCATTTCATGAAGGCACTAAAGTCACCATGACTTTAGCATAAGCTTTATAATACTCCCTCCCTCTGACCTAGAATCCTCACCTCAGGAAATTCGACGACACCCCCCTCAGTGATGCTGAGTGGAAACAATGGTGCTTGTAAGGTTCCTTCCGCTCCCCAAGCCTCACTCCCCCACACAGAGTCTGTTGTCTGTCAGTGAGCCTCATTTCCTCTCTCTCCAAATGCCCACGGCATCCTCTCTGCTCATCCTGTCCAGCCCGGACTGGCAACAGGACCTGTAGTCATTTCCTTGTCTCCCAAGCCTTCCCAGTAGAGTCCCCAGACAGCTTTTAAAAAGTGTGCTCAGCAGTCTGGGGAGAGTGTTCTATCAGGAAGATGTTTGCTATGAAGGCATGGACACCTTAGTTCAGGTACCTGGCAGCATCATAAAATCTGCATGCTACAATATTTATTTATAACCCCCCCCACACCAGGGCGTGGAGGAGAAGCAGAGACATACGTCTTCCAGCACTCACAGGACAGCATTTCTAGGCAAAACAGTGAGTTCAAGGTTCAGTGATAGATCCCATCTCAAAACACATGATGAGAGCGCCTGAAGAAGAGAGCAAACATCAACCTCTGGCCTTCACAGGCACACACAGATATATGCACATGTATATGCACCTTCATGAACGTCACAGGATGTGTCTGTCGTTAGACAAGTAGCTGAGAGCCTACATCCTGATCCATAAGCATGAGGCAGAGAGATCTGAGAATAACATACATAGGCTTTCAAACCTCAATGCCTAACCCCAGTGACATCCTTTTTCTAATAATGCCTGTGGAGAAGTCTGTGTTGTATTCTGTTAATTGATTATTGATGGGGTGGGGGTTGGTCCAGCTTACTGTGGGCCATAGTACTCCTGAGCTGGTGGTCCTGGGTTCTATAAGAAAACAAGTTGAGCAGGCCAGTAAGCAGCATCCTTCATGGACTCTGCATCAGGACTCCTGTCGCCAGGTTCTTGCCTTGAGATTCTACTTTGACTTACCTTCATGGACTGTGATCCTGATGAATAAGATGAAATAAAACACATCTTTCCTATCAAAGTTGCTTTGGTCATGGTGTCTTATCACAGGAATGGAACTCTCTCTCTCTGTCTCTCTCTGTCTCTCTCTGTCTCTCTCTGTCTCTCTCTCTCTCTCTCTCTCTCTCTCTCTCGTGTGTGTGTGTGTGTGTGTGTGTGTGTGTGTGCGTGTGTGTTTGTGTGTGTGTGTAGGATAAAGAAAAAATGATGAGAAATATAGACAAGAATAAGAAGCAATGAGCCTTTGAGAAAGCGGATCTACTGTTGGGAACAGCAACCAGAAAACCAGAGTGCGCTGGACATCTGTGGGTGAGGACCAAGAAGGAACATCATAGGGTCTGTTGAAAATACATAGGGTTACCCAGACTCAGGCTAGGGTAGATGTTTTTTAGGGTTTACATGGTAAAGTGATTCCCTCTGTCTTCCTGTCTTCACAGTCTGAACATGGAGTATAGAGTAAAATTTGTACAAAAAACTTGGAGTCCCTCCTCAGAGATAAATCTGTTTCTTCTTCCCGTTTATTACTCATTTATTTATATTAGTATGAACACATGGGCAATTTAAATAAATATGTTTCCATATTTTGAGTTTGGTTAAGAACATTTTGTGGTTTGAATTTCTCCCATTTTGTCCTATAGGAATTCTTGTAGTTGACTCTGGTATTTCTTTGATGCACTTCTGTGATTTTACTTTTAAATATTTTGAAAAGCAGTTTCTTGTGTTCTAGAATCAAGAGATAGTTCTAATGCCTTTCCCAAGCAAGAATCAGCCACCCTTACTCAGTGCCCAGATCCTCATTGCTCATGGGGAAGGTCTAGGTGTGTACTATGTATATATTTCTCTTGTGTCGTCTTATGCTGTAGAGAGGTTAGGTGTGTGTGTGTGTGTGTGTGTGTGTGTGTGTGTGTGTGTGTGTGTCTGTCTGTCTGTCTGTCTGTCTGTCTGTGTGATGACAGAAATGTGCATGTATTGGTACATATTTCTGTGGGTAATCAGGTCTATTTAATTTAAACAAAACAGGATTTTAGTCTTAGGTCTCCAACCACCCATTAGCATAGTCCCCTAGCCTTTTAGCCTTTTCCTGTGTATGCATTCAGGATGACAGAAATGTGCTGGCAGTGTTAGTCACTCTTCGAGGCACAGTCCAAAGTGGCAGGGAAATCATGGGGCTAGGAGCTTGAAGCTGATCACATTACATTTCTAGTCAGGAAGCAGAATGAGATAAGAGCTTATACTCAGTTCACTTTCTCCTCTATGTATAGCAATTTCAGCCCAGGGAATGCTGCTGCGCATAGTGGTAGAGTCTTCCCACCTCAGTTATCTGAATCTGGATAATCCCCCACAGGCATGCTCAGAGGTTCCTCTTTTAGGTGATTCTAGATCTCATAAAGTTTATAACTGTGGTTGACACGCCATTTTGATACAGATGCAGCAGCAGCTGTATTGCTAACCCAAGTTCTACAAGAAGAAGTCTTTGCATATAAAGTAGAATGTTTTCAGTCCTATGGATTTTGTTCATTCAAAATTACCTACTATCACCCCATTTACCCCAACTCCTTTAGTATGGTGGTTTCAGGTATCTGTAACATACACAGATTATTTTCTTACATTCTGTACTTCATTCTTTAACTTCCCAGTTAATTCTGTTTCTCACTGACACCCATTAAGGTTTACTCTTTGTTCTGGAAAGTCAGTCCTACGAGTAGGATAAGGCATCCAGTCACAGCAATGTGTGAATTATTAGTAGTTTCATCCTTGGATGTGTGGAGTCTTTTAAACATGCCATTTAGACAAGAAGAATACATGATGGATGGATTCATGGAATAACTATGTATCCAGGTAAAGAATTACAGATTCACAGAGCTAAAATGAGCCTTGGCAATCGCATGGCCTAGTGTTCATACATATGGCTGCATTTTGGAATCATCTAGAGATCTGACAAACAAAACAAGTACCCTGACCCCCACCTCCAATACAATGCTCAGAAACACCTCATGGCATGTGGTTTCGAGAGCTGCTGAGAGATTCTGAGTTAATTTTCTAAGGGAGAGAAAATTTTTTTCTTCTCTATCTTTGTCTCTGTCTCTGTAGACAGAATTTCTGTTCCACCTAGTCCTGCTGCCTTTCAGGCCCAAATAAACACACAAAGGCTTATATTAATTATAAACTGTTTGGCCAATGGCTTAGGCTTCTTATTGACTAGTTCTATCTTAATTATTAACCCATAACTATTAATCTGTGTATTAATCTTGTCTCCCACCTATACTTCCTGTCCAGCTACTGGGCAATCAGTGTTTTATTCATTAACCAATAAGAGAAACATATATTAACAACATACTGGACGTATCCCATCATCTCCTTTCTGTCTAAATAAAAAGGAAGGTTTTAGCTTTAACCAAGTAAAATTATATGTGACAAAACA